GAAGAATGGTGAAAATTCAGCATCTGAAAAAGTAACTGCAAAGTGGCCATCAATCCCAAATTATGGCACCACAAGTACAATATTTTCACAGTTAAGAAGCAAAAAGTAGTAAGATGTGGAATGTAAAAAGAAAAAAAATAGTAAATGAATGTGTTCCAAAAGAGGCAATAAATGAATAACTCTGTAACCTCAGGCTCACATGTAAAGGACAATTGATATGAGATTATTTTAAAATGAACTTATTCATATTTTCTTTGTTAGTATCGTTCTAGCAATCTCAGTGCTTGTGCTGTTGATTGCTATGATATTACCACCTATTTGCTTGGGAGTGGGAAGAAAAGTTCCACTCCAGTTTGCAAATAAGGTGAAAAAGCAAGTTAGTGAGGATTTAGTGTACTGTTTTTACCCAGCAGATGGGCAAACACAATAGCAGCAGCAAAGGTATAAAGTTTCCATAACACACTGGTAGGAAATTAATTCCAATTTTGTGACCATGACAAAGTTACATAGTCTGAGAGTGGTCTGAGTAAATTGAACTGAAAGGGAAATATACTGTACATAGGCAAGTTCTATTTCAAATGGACTTTTAGTAACTATAAAATATACCTATTAGTGCCATTACAATTATTTGTTAAGGCTCTGTCCCTGCTTTCAACATGAATTCATATGATCCAGAAAAATGCACTATGGCATAAACCATATCACACACAGGCTCATAACTCAGGAGTATGTTGTTTGTGAAGCTATCAGGCACAGAAATAAATGGTCAGAAAGTTCAGAAAGGCCAAAGCATTGAATAAGTATGAGAGAATCATCTTTATCCGGATGAGGAGGGCGATTCAAAGAAGGGCAGAATGAAGGCAGCAAGAGAAGTCACAGATGTGAACTTTTTTTGGGGTGGGGGTTGTTTGTCTGCCCTTCCCCCAAGCCAGGCTTGGTACAGAGGAGACATAGATACAGCTGGTGTGCCAGGAGGAATCCTATACCCCAAGCTGTGGATCTGCAGGATAGCACATCTGAAGCTGCTCTTGAAGCCGTATTCCAGGAACCACAGAACCTCTTTGCAGCTTCTCGCCAATTGCTACCCGTGCAGCTGCTATGCACTATCTGGTCTTGGATGTAACGGGCATTAAAATACTATTTTAATATCAAGAAGTCCTGTGGCACCTTATAGACTAACAGATTTATTGGAGTACAAGCTTTCGTGGGCAAAGACCCATTTTGTCAGATGCATGTTGTGGAAATTCCAGAGGCAGGTATAAATATACGGGCATAAGAAAAGAGTACCAATCAAGAGTAAGGCTAGAGATAACAAGACCAATTCAGTTAGGGAGGACGAGGCCCACTTCTAGCAGCTGATATGGAGGTGTGAACACCAAGAGAGGAGAAACTGCTTTTTTACTTAGCTAGCCATTCACAGTCTTTGTTTAATCCTAAACTGATGGTGTCAAATTTGCAGATGAACTGTAGCTCAGCAGTTTCTCTTTGAAGTCTGTTCTTGAAGTTTTTTTGTTGCAGGACGGCTAACTTTAAATCTGCTACTGTGTGTCCAGGGAGATTGATGCGTTCTCCTACAGGATTTTGTATATAACCATTCCTGATATTGGATTTGTGCCCATTATTCTTTTACGTAGGAACTGTCCAGTTTGGCCGATATATGTAGCTGAGGGGCATTGCTGGCACACGATGGCATATATTACATTGGTTGATGTGCAGGTGAATGAGCCAGTGATGGTGTGGCTGATCTGGTTAGGTCCTGTGATGGTGTCGCTGGTGTAGATATGTGGGCAGAGTTGGCACCGAGAATTGTTGCAGGGATTGGTTCCTGAGTTAGAGTTACTGTGGTGCGGTGTATAGTTGCTGGTGAGAATTTGCTTCAGGTTGGCAGATTGTCTGTGGGCGAGGACTGGCCTGCCTCCCAAGGCTTGTGAAAGCGAGGGATCATTGTCCAAGATGGATTGTAGATCACTAGTGATGCGTTGGAGAGGTTTTAGCCAAGGACTGTAGGTGATGGCCAGTGGTGTTCTGTTGATTTCTTTGTTAGGCTCGTCTCGTAGTAGGAGGCTTCTGGGTACACATGCGGCTCTGTTAATCTGTTTCCTCACTTTCTCAGGCATGCACTGTAGTTTCAAGAATGCTTGGTGAAGATCTTGTAGGTGTTTGCTTCTGTCTAAGGGGATGGAGCAAATGCCGTTGTACTTTAGCGCTTGGCTGTAGACAATGGATCATGTGGTGTTTCCGGGATGGAAGCTGGAGGCATGAAGGTAGGCATAGCGGTCATTAGGTTTTTGATATAGGGTGGTCTTTAGTGACTATCACTTATTTGCACTGTAGTGTCCAGGAAGTGGATCTCTTGTGCAGACTGGTCCAGGCTGAGGTTGATTGTGGGGTGGAAATTATTGAAATTGTGGTGGAATTCTTCCAGAGCCTCCTTCCCATGAGACCACATGATGATGTCATCAATGTATCGTTAGTAAAGAAGGGGCTCTAGTGGATGAGAGCTGAGAAAGCATTGTTCCAAATCAGCCATAAAAATGATGGCATATTGTGGGGCCATGAGGGTACCCATAGCGGTGCCACTGGTTTGGAGGTATATATTGTCACCAAATCTGAAACAGTGTATGAGAGGATGAAGTCACTGAGCTCAGCCATGAGTTGTGCTGTGGCATCATCAGGGATACTGTTCCTGACAGCTTGTATTCCATCTATGTGTGGGGTGTTGGTGTAGAGAGCCTCTATATCCATAGTGGCTAAAATGGTGTTTTCTGGAAGATCACCAATGCATTGTAGTTATCTCAGGAAGTCAGTGGTGTCTCGGAGATAGCTGGGAGTGCTGGTGGTGTAGGGTCCGAGTAGAGAGTCCACATATCCAGAAAGCCCTGCAGTGAGAGTGCCAATGCCCGAGATGATGGGGCGTCCGGGATTTCCAGGTTTGTGGATCTTGGGTAATAGAACAACCCTGGTCGGGGCTCTAAGGGTGTGTCGATTTGTTCCTGTGCTGGTGTAGGGAGTGTCCTGAGCAGATGATGCAGTTTCTTAGCGTATTCCTCAGTGGGATCTGAGGAAAGTGGCCTGTAGAATGTGCTATTGGAGAGTTGTCTGGCAGCCTCCTTTTGGTAGTCAGACCTGTTCATGATGACAACAGCACCTCCTTTATCAGCCTCTTTGATTATAATATCAGAGTTGTTTCTGAGGCTGTGGATGGCATTGCGTTCCACACGGCTAAAGTTATGGGGCCAGCGATGCTGTTTTTCCACAATTTCTGCCTGTGCGCATCAGCGGAAGCTTTCTATATATAGGTCTAGACTGTCATTTTGACCCTCAGGAGGAGTCCATGCGAAGTTCTTCTGCTTGTGCTGTTGGTGGGAGGGTATCTGTGTGTCAGTGCGTTGTTCAGTGTTGTGTTGAAAGTATTCCTTGAGTCAGAGATGGCGAAAGTAGGCTTCCAGATCACCGCAGAATTGTATCATGTTTGTGTGGGCGCTGGGACAAAAAGAGAGTCCCCAAAATACAACAGATTCTTCTGCCGGGCTGAGTGTGAACAGAGTATAGGTTCTGGGGTAGGGCTGAGGATGAGAGCTTTGGGGCATAGGAGGCGGCTCCAACTTTGGGGGAGATCAGGGCTGGGGCAAGGGGGGCTTACCTTCAGCAACTCTCAGTTAGCAGTGTAGCGGGGTGCGGGAGGATTAAGACAAGCTTCCTGCCTCTCCTGGCACTGTAGACCATGCTGTGCCCCACAAACAGCCAGCAGCAGATTCCCATCGAATGGGAGTATGGAGCTAGTGCTCGGGGCAGGGGCAGAGTGCGTAGACCTGTGCGCTCTCCCCAGTCCCCCACCTCTACGAGCAGGGTTGGCCACTTCTGGGGTGCAGTGCAGTCTGCACTGCCAGGACAGGCAGGTAGCCTGCGTTGGCACCCCCACTGATCACCTGATCACCCTGCAGCAACGAAACCCAGTGCCTGATATTCCAAGACCCAATACTGGGTCATGATCCTAAGTCTGAAAACCACTGGCCTAGAGGCTATAGTAATACTCTGTGATTCTGTTCCCGTTTGGGCTGCACCCTCTGAAGACAGCAGATGATGAATCCACAGATTGTTGTGGACCTTTTGGCCCTGCTTAGTTCTTTGCTTAACGTCCCTAAAAAGGACACTAATAGCTCCAATGAAACTGAGCTCTGCTGCCCAAAGGGTATGTGAACCATTTCTTTTTCCTTCTCACAACACATTGGTTTGGCTGTGTCTCGGACTAAGCACAGAGAATGAGGGTCTAAATTCTGCCTGCAGTAGAAAACACATTTCATGGTCTTCTTCCATAAGAAATAACTATTTTAATAAATCAATTATAATCCTCTTTTGCTACTAATTACAATACACGCATGGAAACAGTGACACAAATCATGAGTATGTATCTTGACAAGAATACAATGGAGCAACATATTCTATTGTGAGGAATTTAGATTATGTGCCCTTCTGGAGGGGGACTGGGATTTTTCTTGTCTTTGTGAGGCCCCTACTTCATATTTGAATGTTGTATCATTAATAGCTAGGGTTCTGGGTCTGTCATGGAGATCGTGGAAGTCATGGATCCCTTGAGCAGCTCAAGTAATCCCTGCTGTGGTGCCCAGCGTGGGCAACTGGAGCAGCTGTGTTTCCAGGGTGACTGTCCAGAGCAGCTGCTGCTCAGGTAGCCCCTGACAGTGGTTCCTGAGCTGCCAGCTGGAGCAATTGCAGTCAGCAGCCCCTGGCAGATGGTGCTATTGGGTCCGGGCACCTCCCCTCCCCCCCCAACAGTGCTCTCTACCGCAAGATTTAGTAAAGGATATTTACAGTATATGTCATGGACAGGTCAAGGACGTGAATTTTTGTTAATTGCCCATGACCTTTCCATAACTTTTACTAAAAACACCCATAATTAAATCATAGCCTTATTAATAGCAAATAACACCCCAACTTTATAAAAACATTTTAAGAATTAAAATCTCAGAAGAAATACTTACATTTGATGCTGGTTAGCCTGCTTTTTGGTGCTGAACAGTCTACGGCTGCTGAAAATAAAAAAAAAAGTAAAAGTGAGTTTTGCAAGATCGTATGCTTAATATCTGTTGCAATTGGAATAATATACTAGTAAAATGGAGACATATCTGTTGCAATTGGAATAATATACTAGTAAAATATCACTAAATGGAGACTTATTTAAATCAAGGCTAAGAGATTATATTTTTCATTGTGGTATTTGCTTATTGTTATTCAGATCAATGGTTTGTTTTGATGGAGTCAATTAAATGTCAAAGTTTTTATGCTGAATTTTATAGGAAATATACATGTAAATGAACATTCCCTATAAATACAGACCATATTATTCATTTGCATCTATGGAAAATGAAGTGTAATTAAACTATGATATTTCTTGTAACTATATCAAAAGATATTGTTCCCAGTGTAATAAACTCAATAAAAACCAGGTTTATTCTGACCTTGAAATTTAATAGATGGCAATGACTGAATATTCCCATATTTAAAGCATGCTCTAATAATGTGATGCATAGGTGAGGAGCAACACAGGAATTATGACACTTGAAATACGCTAATTATATATTCAGTAACCTGACTGAGAATAGCTAGAAGAAGATGGAAAAGTGTAATATATCTAGGGTTGGGATAATATATCACGAGAGAAGAATTTTAAAATTAAGTCTGAACATTAATATTTGCAGGATTGGGACCAGTTTATGTCATGAAGAATGGGAATAGGCTGTTTAATTTAAACAGTATACTGAAAGTCTTTTTTAGTACCATGTGCACAAAATACTTAATACATCCCTAAAGATTTTAGAGTCACTGCCTGGATTCAGCACTTTATATTCTACTATTTGACCTTAAAAAAAAGTTAGGAAGAGTTTTGTAACCTAATTTTTTTCACTCGATTCCTTAAATAAAGGTTGTGTGTAAACACTGCATAAGGACAGCATCATAAGTTTCTAAACTTCAGTAATATTTATTTTTTGGGCACAGTTTTGCTATAATTAAGTAAAATATACTAAGTTTTCACTAAATGTATACAAAGAGTTAGCTGTTCTATGTAATTTAAATGCTTCAGGGGTTATATTGCCTAGTATGAAATCTGAATAGCATTATGCAAAACATTTCCATATACAATATAACACATACATTCTGGGGAATTAACCTCTCCAGACTGGAACAACAACACATTGAAATGTTAAGGAAACTTGTGAAGTAGCCTGCATAAATGTCTGAGAACTACAACTCCTCAGATCGTATCTGAAGCAGACTGTGATATTGAAATTTAAAACACATTTGGACAAAATATACATTTCAGTTAATATGTAAGCTAGAATGGTGCAACTAATGTTTCACACTATTGCCATATATTATTGTGAGAGCCAGAACTCTCAGTAGCAAATGAGAAGCAGATAGAAACTTTTCATGATATCACGTACTATGATCACATGGACACTGAGGATGAGTGCATATTCAAACAATGTGATTGATGGTGGTATATTTCTGTCAAATATGATTCAGGAGTGGAGAGCATACTTGGAAGCATGCTGCTGCTGCTACAAGAATGAATGTTTTGGCACAGATCCAAAGAAAAAGCAAAAACTATAGCTAAACAACATCAATTTGTAGACTGACATTGGCGTAGACAAGCCAAAGAGTCAGTAAATCAATCATATACTGCAGCCTTTGATTCACCTTTCTGTGCTTTCTATGTGCCTAATATAGTTCTTTACATTATTTTCTCATTCAGAGTATGAATGAGTTTTCATTTTAGTGATTACTAATAACTGAAAGCTAGCAGAATCAACTCCGGCAGGTGACTCTAAGCACTATGTGTCAAAGAGCAGGGAGCAAGAGACTTTGCGCTCCTCCCACCCCCAGTCCAATCAGGGCCTGGGGACAGGGCGGGGAGAAGCGCATGAAGTCTGCTCCTGGCCTACCCCTGCCCTGCAAGTTGTGCGAGGCAGGACGGAAGGAGACTTTGCGCACTCCCCTACCCCCAAGCCCTGATTAGCCTGGGGGTCCTACCTCCGACCCATTGGCCTGAAGCCTTGCTCCTTCCACAGCAGCCCGGGACCACTTCAAAAATTTCAGAAATGGCACCGGTCAAATATTATTGCCCATCTCTAGTCTATGCATATTACTTAGCATTAGCAATAGAGTGAAACGAATCAAAATCAAAAACAGACTTATAACATTAAACATCATTAAATAAAAGTAGTAACTTTTATTATCATCTGAATGAATAATGAAATAAGATGCTAATATGAGAAAAAAACCGCACACAAAGTGTCTAGATCACTTTTCACATTTGTTATTAATTGGAAGCAGCTAAGGGTATGTCTACACAACAGGACAAAACTCGAATTAGGCTATGCAAATTCAGCTACGTCAATTGTGTAGCTTAAGTCAAAATAGCTTAATTCAGATTTTGGCACTGTCTACACAGCAGAAAGTAGAAGTAAGGACACTCTTCCTTCGACTTCCCTTACTCCTCATAAAATGAGAGTTACAGGAGTCACAGTAAGAATTCCTCCAGATCACCATTATTTTGAAATAATAGCTTATAGTGAAGATGCGCTTTGTTATTTCAGAATAATTAATAATGCGGCTGTGTAGACATACCCTAACTGACATCATCAAGGAACTGAACCATTAAAAACAAAACTTTCTACAACCCAATTCTTGTTACAGGTATATTCTAATCCAAACTGAAGGACGAGTTACAATTGGGTGTAGAAGTTTCATGACACGTTTACCTTTGGCTGAAAGAATTTTGTTATAATGAACAGCCATGTGATCCCTGATCAGGTACTGGTTATTTAGTCTCCGGGAGGAGCCAATGCAAAAAGCTATAAAATTAAAGACATTTGAATGTTATAAAAAGTAGTGTAAAGATACATTGTTATTGATTAATTACAGTTCAAACTCAAACACATTGCCAAATAAGAGCTGTCAAGCTGATATGTGGTGTCACAAGAAATAGGGTATGGGTCTTTGTCCTCCCGACTAAATAGGTGACATACACTAGGGGACACTTGCTTTTCCTAACATTAGAATTGTGGTACATTTGGGAAAGGGTACCAAGGCTTTCATCTGCTCCATTTTAGAATGCCTTCTCTCCCCGTTATCTTTTCTCTTTTCCCTGCAGTGTAGGTTTGCACTACTGCCCCATATCCATTGTCTAAGCATTCTCATTTCATCTTCTACATCATACTGCATCTCTAAACAAACCAAACTGCAAGTTGGTAGCCATCAAAGTGTGCTAATGCTCTCTCCTCTCCCTCTTTATAACTGAATAGTGTACATCTGACAACTTCCAATCCAGGTATGCCCAACCGTGACCCTCATGCTCCGGGCTGATTTGGTAGCACTTTCATAGCCAAAATGCTGAGTTGAAAAAGTCCCAATTTTTCCATCACTTCCACTGAATCCATCAACCCTCATTGAGATTAAGTTGCTGGAATAACAAACCAGTCTCTTTGCTTGTAAAGGAGAACAGATTTTTTTTTAAATCTTTATTTCAAACCAGTAAAATAATATATATTTAAATTTCAGCACAAGAAGTAAATACATTTTAAAACAATACCCATTTATTCTTCCTCTCCATTTAACTGCCAGCCCTAAAGATGGAAAATGTCTGCAGGAAAATGTAATCTACACTGTTAAATGTTTTAGTGGTATTACCAACTGTTACTTGGGAAACTGAGGTTACTAAACTCAGGATATTTTTGGTTAAGGGCCTGGTGCTGTGCAATGTTGCCATGCATGGGAGTTCAGCACACTCATCTTACATGATCAGCATCCTAAATCACTTACAATAATTTATTTTTATTTAAACATAATCTTTGCCATTCATGTTTAAGATATCTTATGAGCACAAAAATTTTAGATTGGACAGAGTTTAAGAAGTTCCTATAAACACAGGCACTATTTTAGCAAGACATTTAAGCATGTTTAATAGTCTAAAGGAGGAGTAGGGAACCTTTTTTGGGTCGGGGGCTGCTGACCCACAAAAAAAGTCAGTTGGGGGCTGCACACAGGTGAGAAGCACTGACGTGGCTCCCCATATTCCTCTTGCACACCAGAGGCTCGGTGTGGCAGGCTAGTAGATTTTGTGTGCTCCAGCCCCGCATTACGGCAGTGAGGGCTTCCCAACGCTGAGGGGGAGCCCTGAGCCTCAGGCGCCAGATTCAGGCAAGCCAGGGGCCGCATTCAGACTCGGGGACTGAGGTTCCCCACTCCTGGTCTAAAAAAAAGATTTCTTGAAATTATCATACATATGCTTAAGTGCTTTGTTCAGTGAGAGCCACAGATTCTTCATCTATTGAGCCATTTGCTCATAAGAAATAACACTTTTAGGTACTATTTTTACTTTTTTGTAATTTTATGTTTTCTAGCCAGCAAAAGCACCATGACACGTAAAACTCACTTGTGAAATTACCAAATGTCCTCTTCATAAAGCACATTTGTGCATTACTAGTATTAAAACCTCAGTAGCACTCAGTTTTAGTCAAAGGTTTTAATGCAATAAACATTTGAAAAAAATAAAAATGAACACATCCATTCAAATGAACCATGACAATCCTTTTATCAAATCATATATATTACTTACCATTACTCTGAGTACTTAAATGTCCTTTAAATGGGCTTGCAGGACCATATCTGGGAATGGCTGGGTATTCGCTCACTTAAACAAAAAATGTCAAGCAATTAGAAGGAAACATATTTTGAGAAATAGGATAAAGCATAATGTTTCTTTAAAGTGCATACATCTGTTTAGATCTGTTATTATGAGAAATTTGAATCTGTGGCAGTCAGATTACTGGAAGAGTGGACTTTATTTACTTTTATAATGTGAACATCATTACAGTTCTATGAGTTTTCCATATTACTTGAAAGCCAAAGTATAACTGTAGAGGGATGGTGTGGGTGAGGTAGTATCTTTTATTGGACTAATTTCTGTTGGTGAGAGACACAACTTTTGAGTCATACAGAGCTCTTCTTCAGCTCTGGGAAAGGTACTCATAGTGTCAGAGGTAAATACAAGGTGGCACAGATTGTTTATCACAGGATCGAGTGTGGGGGACCTTTTTTGGTTGGGGGCCACTGACCCACAAGAAAAATCAGTCAGAGGCTGTGCACATTCCCCTCCCACACCAAAGGCTGGAGGGGAAGTAGGCTAGTAGATTTTGTGTGCTCCAGCCCTGATCCCTGAGCCCCGACATTTGATATCTCTAGATCTAAAAGTCATCACAGTGGAACTATGATATGTCAAATGTTGATGCAACTATTCATTCTAGTACCAATCATTTGGTGCAATAGGAGAATAAGCATTAAAAAAATCAACTTATTCAACTTAGAATATAAATGTCTTAACATAATATGCAGCAGCTGTTCATTACCAGGGTGAATAAAAATCAATGACTTTTACAAAAAAAAATTAAAAAAACAATTTTTTAATTTAAACTGATTTTTATTTTTTTTAAATCACCAATTAAATACTAAATTTCTTGTTTAAAAATAAGTTGCAATTAAATCTCATCACAGACATGCTATATCTACACTTACAGTCTCATAAAAATGAATGAATGGCTCTAGTCTGTCCAACCTAACTACTAGTTCTTCCTTCTTAAAAGTTCTGAGCTTTCAATTTCTGTTTCTGAACAGACTAAAGGAACATGTACAAAGAAAGACATGGGATAGATAGGATTGTTTTTATTCTGTGCTTAGGTCATGGTGTATCTGGGCCAAGCACAACAGAGGAGTTAGTTAAGACGTTGTCTTAAAGACAGAGACACAATATATAGGAAAGGACAGAGATATAAAGCTAGATGGATAACTTCTGAAGATGCTGTTGCTGCCATTGCATGGGTAGGCATTTCAAAATCACTCCTCAATTATGCCAGTCATGATAGATTTCAGGGCTGTTGCAAAACCGTATAATGAGTACATGTTTACTGATTATGTTAACAAAATCACTCCCCTGAGTTTTTGGGAATCACTAGCCAGGTACCGTGAAACAGAATTACCTCAGATGCTAAGCCAAATTTTCATAGCAATAGCTTCCTCTGCAGGCACAGAGAAACATTGTCATTGTTTGGTATTATTCACACAAATCTAAGAAATCAACCGTGAATGAAAAAGCAGAAAACATATATTTCTGTTTCAGTCTATGAATCAAAATGACAGTGGGGCTACGTCTACACTGGCCCCCTTTCCGGAAGGAGCATGTTAATTTCACGAGTCGCAATAGGGAAATGCGCGGAGGATTTAAATATCCCCCGCGGCATTTAAATAAAAATGTCCGCCGCTTTTTTCCGGCTTTTAGAAAAGTCGGAAAAGAGCGTCTACACTGGCCCCGATCCTCCGGAAAAAAAGGCCTTTCCGGAGGATCTTATTCCTACTTCAAAGTACCTGGGATGTCTTAACATTAACTTTTTACTGCATTCCAAATGCAGTCATGTTACATTTTACAGAAATTAAGCATAAATTCTATAGAAATCTTCTCACTAGTTCCTATGAGCTCTGAATAGAGAAAGGAAGGAGGTTTCAAGTCCATAAGCCTAAAAGCATCTATCCATTTTGTGATGTACCGCAGTAGGAACAGCAACTACACTTGAAAAGGATAGAATAGATATGTTGTTAATTTACACATGCAACTAAATAACTGTAACATCGATAACTGGGTAACTATATATTTGCCTTCTGAACGTCTACTATACACACCGATTATTTGTTCCCCGCAAGAAAAAAAATATGCCACATTCAAGCTGTTGTCAGAACCTATCCATTCTTCATATACAATATTTTTAAAATATGTCCATTCTTCACTTAGATCACTACTTCTTGGCCCTATCTTAGTCAAGCCTCTCCTTGATTACTGTGCCTCCTTCTCTCTGGTTTTACTACCTCTGACTTTTGCAGCTCCTTTAGTATGTATCAAATATTACTAATAAAGTAAACTGTCTTAGTTAATGATCACATCCTCTCAACCCCTTAAATGAATTGGCTTCCTCTCACCTTCCATATCATGTTAAAATTTCTTAGCCTTACCAGTGAGGCTCTTTACATTTATACTCCTTTCATTTCTGTTCTTGTATCATTCTAAACATTGCTCCTCTGACTTTCCGAAGCCTCCTGACTAATTATCACATTTGGTTGTGTCTGCACTGATTTTCCATCAATTTTCCCACAACTGCACAATCACAGTGCAGATACATTGGGTCAGAACCATCATGGGCAGGGGTGGCCTGTGAGTATAGGCTGACTCAACCGTTGCCTAGGGTGCCGCCTTCAATGGGGCACCCGGGGCGCCCAATGATGATGTCATACCATTGACAGCTGTGCAGGCGGGGGCGCCAATCGCGTGTTCTGCCTGGGGCGCCAGCTGCCGCAGCCCGCCTCAGACTACCCCGATCATGGGATCAATACTCTGGACAACTGACTACTGGATTTTTAACTATCATGCCACCTAGATCTATTCTAAGCAAGCATACACAATTCAATGGTTAAAACACTGGCAGATAGTCTAGAGTAGTACTCCTACCATTATCAGCAGTGGTAGAATGATGGAAGGAAATCTGAAAGAAAATGCTAATGTAAATATATTATTTGTAGCCTTCCTTGTTAGGATGTAGACATTCAGACCTGTCTGTGAAAGCCCAGAATTTAAATATGTAGGTATTTTTATCATTTAGCTAGTAATGGATGTATAAAAACAAAGAATCAAAATCACAGTCTATCTGTATATGGTATTTATCTTACTATGATAGTATGAGACCTTCTTAAGTTAAGGCCTTTGGCTAAGCAGCAGGGGCAATCAAAAGCTGGGAAATATACAGACACATCCTTGCCAGTCCCATTGAAATAAGTTAATAGTAAGATGTTAAGAGGGCAATCCAATCTAACATCTCCAGATAAAGAAAAGATCCTAGAAATTTTTAAACAGAAAACTTAGCTTGAGGACCCAGTTATCAATAGTTGCAGAGTTGTGAAAGCCTCATTTCTTTCTTGTTTTTTCATTATGGCTCCCACTTTCCTATTGTTTCTCTGCATAATCTCGGCCTGATTCTGTGATTATTTCTGTCTACCATATAATTAATTTTGCTGGTGTAAACCAAGTAAGATAGTAGGTTAGATAATCATGTTTCAATGTTAGAATTGATGAGTTAAATTTCAGTAAAATGATTGGTTAATGTATACCTAAGCAGAACCCAAGTTTTACTATATAGTTTGAGCTCAAACAGGAAGAGAGAAAATAGGAATAATACTTGCTAAGAAGTAGGAACAGGGACACAGACAAGGCTCTGTGGTGTCAAAGCTGGGAAGGGGGACATTGGGGAACAGACTCTGTCAATATATGAAGATAAGCCAGACTAGTATGAAAGGCCTTGGAATCATGCTTGCTGGAAATTAACCCCAATAAACATAGAATTGTCTGCACCTCTGAACTTCGGGTATTCCTGCTCTCTGTTTATGTGAGAAGGATCAGTGAATGGAAGGATAAAAGATAAGCCTGCTAACACTTTCTCTCATCTGCAACTCATCTTCCATGTTGACCTGATCACTGTTTTGTGTGCCACTCCATTTCAAAATCATGCTTAACACACTCCTTCTGCAATGTCCTCCAGTGACAATGTATAGTTATAGTTTTAGAATGATAAATGACATAATATTACATAATATAACCATAATTTTGATCCCGCTCAATAAATTGAACACCTTGAATCTGATTTTAGAGGTGTTCACAGCGGTGATGTTTCCACGATCTTCAACTGGAATTGTGTTTCCTCAGCAGCCCTGAAAATAAGGCACTTTATTTCTCAAAATTAATTTACATATCTATCTGTAAAAGCAGAAAATTATATCACCAGCAGATGGCACACTGTTCAACTATAATTGGTGTTACTGTATCAGCCTTTTACTATTATGTTACTTGTAAAACACAAAACAACAATCTAGATGTCTACCACAGGAAAACCCAAAAGACAGAGCCAAGAGGGAAATATCTTGCAGTTTCCTCTGAATCTGTTTCCTAGGAAGCACGTTATGCCTTCAAGTTACACAGATCTCAGGAAGATACAAAGCTATCTAGTAACAGGCCAGATAGGTCCCTTTAGACCAGGGTTTCTCAACCTATGGGTTGGGACCCAAATATGGGTCGCCATTACATTTTAAAAGGGTCGCTAGGTGTCTCCCCATGTGGCTCTTAATGAGCCGTTCACACATTTTTTGAATTGCCCTGGGTCACCAAGTCTTCCTGAATGGTCCCCATCTGGAAAAGGTTGGGAACCGCTGCTTTAGACAACATGATGTCAGTTTACATTCAGTTCATACTTCAAAGTTATCTTCACAACCACAAAGACTTCAAAATTAAAATGTTAAGGCTTATATTTGGGAACACACATGTCATATTATTCAGGGAATTCTATGTCTACAGGATGTACATAAGCTTAACAACTGGACATGTTTTCTAGGGACCTGGAGTCAGGGGATGGGTAAAGATGACTTATTCTGGGAGGATGAGAAGGGGAATTAGGTACCTAATAAGATTTGTACCTATCACTTCAAATAATCTGCACTGTGTAATATTACAGCACTGGTAGGCAATAATTTTTGAAGGAATTTTGGAAGTGGTTGCAGGCTGCCCCTGAAGGGGTGGGGCCTCAGGTGGAAGGGGGCTGTTCCCTCTATGTGCAGCCCACCCTGGTGGGGGGAGAACACTTTGCATGCTCCCCGTTTCCAGACCCTGATTGGCCTGGGAGTAGGGAAGCGCATGAAGTCTTTGCCTCCCGCCCTGCCAGGGGCACGCGGTGCCTAGAGAGAAACGCCAGCTGTTTTGAACAGCTGGTGGCTCTCTTTAGGTGCTATGCACCCCTGGTGGTGGGAAAAAACTTCATGTGCTCTTCTCGCCTCCAGACCAATCAGGGCCTGGGGGCAGGGAAGAGCGCTAAGTCTCTCGCCCCGCCCCACCCCACCCCCCAACAAGGATGTGGGGCACTTAGAGGGAACAGTTTTGAACAGCTGGCAATTCCCTCTGGTGCTGCGTGTTCCCCCATCCCAGGTCTCGATTGGCCTGGGGGCAGGGGAGTAGCAGGGTGGCCTCAGGCTGGATCCAGTGGTTTAGCAGGCCAGATCCGGGCTGCAGACCCTCTCTTGCCCACCCCTGTGTTTTAGAGACACGGTGGGTGAGGTAATATCTTTTATTGGACCAATTTCTATGAGAGAAAGAGATGTACTTTAGAGCCATACAGAGCTCCCCTTCAGGTCTGGGAAAGGTACTTTGAGCTTCACAGTTAAGTGCCAGATGAAACAGATTGCTAAGTACTTAGCTTGTATTCTTAAGGATCACTGAAGACAGAGCAACCTCTGCAATCATAAGACAAAAAAGATGGGGTTAGATGGTTACAGATTGTCAGGGCTTGCCGAGCCGCGGCGAGCCCCGCTCTCCAGCTGCGCTGTCTGGCATTCTGTGCATGCGCAGATCGTCCGAACCTGGCTCTTCTACATTGGCAGGCTGCTTTTCCGGAAAAGCCCTTTTTCCAGAAAAGCGTATGTGGCCAATGTAGACGCGCTTTTCCGGAAAAGAGCCCCGATCGCCATTTTCGCGATCGGGGCTTTTTTCCGGAAAAGACTACTGGGCTGTCTACACTGGCCCTTTTCCGGAACAGTGTTCCAGAATAAGGACTTATGCCCGAGCAGGAGCAGAATAGTTTTTCCGGAATAGCAGCTGACTTTGTACAGTAGAGCATCGTTGCTTTTCCAGAAATTCAAGGGCCAGTGTAGACAGCTCGCAGCTTATTCCGGAAAAGTGGCTGATTTTCTGGAATAAGTGGCCCAGTGTAGAAACAGCCATGGAGAACTGAGCTGGGAACTGTGTAAACCAATTCTAGCTTTACTTAGGAAATTACTCAGATTTAAATGTGTCATTTCAGCAAATGAACTTTTCTCTGACAATAAATAAGTGTGTGTGTGTGTGTGTGTCCATATAGTGCTTTTTTTGTGATGGTACAGACCAGCATACCGTCACTTTTTTTGGGAGCACTCGTCACTTTCCCCCGGCACAACCTCCAGCCGGCCGTAGGAGCACTTGCACCACGCCACACGGAAGACCGCTTGGGACACGCGGCAATTAAAGGGGCCATGACAGCACTTCAGCTCCAACCGCTGAGGTCTCCACAGCAGCTTGGGACACGCGGCAATTAAAGGGGCCATGACAGCATTTCAGCTCCAACCGCTGAGGTCTCCGCAGCACTTTTTTTTGTGGGTTTTTTTTTTTTTGCTCAAGAAATTTTTATCAATTTTTTTTAAACCATTTGGCAACCCTAGTACCGGCACTTTTTTTTTTTTTAAGCAAAAAAAGCACTTTATCTACATCTATATCTCTTTCTCTATATGTATATTTGATGCCTAATGCAGCTATCTGCAGTAGAAAGACACACATTTGTATAAATTCTAGAGACACTAGATTGTTCCTCATGGATAATTTACACAAGAGTTTTGTCATAAATGCAGCTTCTTAAAGTATACAATGTAAAGAAAATTACATAAGAAACAAACAATTAAATCCTTTAGTATATTGTTAATGCTTGTAATTGCTTCCTTTTGTGGGCTTTGCTTGCAAACGCAAAATGCAGTGCAATATAGAAGGGAAAATTGGAGAGAACCATTCCAATTTTTTCTCTGTCCAGTTGCGAGAGTGGATATCAAGCACGATTTTTTGTTTATTTAAAAATATTTTTTAAAACATTTTGTTTAAATTATTCCTCTATTAAAATGTTTTTTATTTACCTGTTCCCAGTTCTTGACTTTCTTTCTATTTTATAATTGTAAATTGGTAAGGTGGATATTCTGTGCTTTTCTCTTCAATTAGATTCCTAACTGTTAGTAGAATTTCAGAGTTTACATACAATTTTTAAGTATCATAGTTAGAACATTCATCTGTACTTAAGAATACAATTCTGTGTCTCATTAACATCTTTCTTGTGAGATCTACACAAACTCAAACATAAAACTGATAAGCAAGTAGATATGCTATTTCTACAACCAACATCACTTTTGGACATACTGAACTTCCGCATATCAAGGTAAAATGACTGGGCTACCCTCTTTTTTCAAAGTTTACAGTTTGAAACCAGGGACACTTTTATTTCTAAGTCATATAGATACCTTTGAAAACTAGGGATGTTAGCATATAGTCATTTAAAAGATTAAGGGATAAGCCTGGGTTTATTGGTTAATCCAAACGACTACGTGTGCACACACCCCTTGCTGCCTCTGTATGAGGCAGAGATGGAAGGGGGGCTGTGCTGCCATTGCAGCAGCCTTTGACACACACACCCCTCTGTGGACAGGAGCTGCTGCCGTGTTGCACTGCTGCCTCTGTATCAGAAGCAACAGCATGGGGTGACAAACGGGAGCTGGTCTGCACAGAGAGCCAATTTTTAAACTGGCTCCCCTCGTGGACCGGGAAGCTAGGGAACTCCCTGAGAGTGGGACTGGGAGCCAGGAGCATACTGACTGCTGGACTGGCCCCTGGGGAAAGCATTTTAGTAACTGCTAAAAATTGTTGTGACTACATGATTACTAAAATACACAATATCTAATATACGTACTGAAAACCACCTTTTTAAATGCTTAGATATTGGGTTTTGGATCTTAACTGTAGGTTTCTGTTTTGATAAAGATTTTATACTACAAGACTGTATTTATAATAAAAACACAATATTAGCCCCTGAGGCTGCACACACTTTTATGTACATGTCTACTTTAAGCAGAAGTTCTACTGAAGATAATGGGTCCATTAAGATGAGTAAACCTACATATCTACTTAAATATTTTCAGTATCAAGGCCTTAATTATCAATATTTTATGTAATATTAAAATAAGTTACCCTACCATTAATGGCATTTTAAAAATAAAATTATAAATTAGTTCTTAATTTATTATTAACATTTATAATGATCAGAAGAGACAATTATGATAATCTAATTTAACATCTTGTGTAACACAGGACATAGAATTTCATCAAATGATTCCTATGTCAACTCCCCCCTTTTTTTGTTTGAGCATATCTTTTAGAAACAGATATCCAAATATCCAAATTTGATTAAAAAATATAGGTGCACAGACAAGCCACTACATTTCTAGGGAAGTTGTTTCCATGCAGGATTGCCAGGTATCCGCTTTACTATAGGAAAACCTAGTGAAAAGGGACCCTGCTGGCTCCAGTTTGCAAATTTTAGCAGCCTGGTCAACGGTGCTGACTGGCTCCAGTTAGCACCGTTGACCAGGCTGCTAAAATTTGCAGAGTTCTAGATGCAAAATTTGTATATGCAGCTGCAAAAATTAGCTGCAAATATCTGCAGATGTAGATACCCATGGATATTAAATGTATATCCGTAGATTTGCAGGGCTCTAGACACAGAGGTTCTCTGAGCTGCCTGACCCTGAGCTCTGCAACTCCCTTTGGCCAAAAACCATGGCCAGTAGAAGCTGTGGGGACAGCATCTGCAGGTGGAGGTGACACTGTGGGAACCGGCAGCACGAAGAGCCACCTGGCTTCTCTGCCTAGGAGCTGGAGGGCAGACATGCCACCACTACTGGGAGCCACACAGAGCCAGAGCAGGCCAGGAGCTTGTCTTGGCTCTTCTGTGCTGCCAATTGGGAACTGCCTGAGGTAAGCACCATCCGGCCAGAGTCCACACTCCAAACCATCTCCTGTACCCAAACCTTAAGTCAGAAGCCCCCCGCACACTAAATCCCATCCTCAGCCCGGACCC